AGGGAAATACGCTAGGCTTAAAAGCAAAGAAAAAATTCAAAAGAAAACAAGCAATCAGTCTGACTCACTAGAAGTTAACTCATTCAGATGAGAGTGAGAGACTGGTAAGAAGAGAGGAGTACAGTAGCTTGGCGGAAGTCAGCCTTGGGTCTCCTGCACAGGGAAGTTGCCTTAGGGTAGGGATCAGAAAGCTGTTTGGTTAGTAAGAAGTTACAGGGGTTGGATGGATAAGGTGGATTGCCAACTGGTAGTCAACTTGTGACACCCAGCTGACCTGAACGAGTGTGGTGCTGGGTCTGGGGGGTGCACCTGAGGGTCACTTATGCCAGCAGCGTAAGAGGCAGAAGTACAGAAACTGTTGGGAGCTGCTGGTTCTCTTAGGCTGTTCTGCTGGGGAACCTTGTTGTGCTGGCCTTCCCGAGGCACTTGGCTGTTCTCAGAGGAGGAGGAGCTCAGGACCTCATGATTGCTGAGAATGGCTACAATTCACTTTGGGGCAGCTCTGGTCCTATCTTGAGCATCATTTCCTGGCTCCAGAGGGCAAGATGGTACACTGCTCAGCCGCCTGGAGAAGCTTGTCTCATTGAGTTTCCTGATGGAAGCTTGGCTTCCCTCATCATTGGAGGACCCTGGGACCTCACTGTCGCTGTGGATGGCTGTGGTACTTTTCAAGGGAGCTCTGGTTCATTTCCTGGCTCCAGTTCAGATCCCTCAGCGCAGATCCTTCATCCGCTGGCGTAGACTTTCTAGCTTCCACCACTGAGATCTGAGCTTCCCAGCGCAGATCCATGAGGCAGGCCTGTTTAAGACACTGTCGTGGTCTCTAGGCCTCCATTTGGACTTGTAGAAGGCATTGTTATGAGCTCTAGGCTGGAGCTCTAAGTTGAGTCCAGCTGGACTCATGAAGGACATTACTGTGGAATTCAGGGCCCTCAGCTGGATTCTTTAGTCTTTAGTATGTGTACAGATTTCCTGCAGTCTTTGTATGATTGAGTGATTCATCATAAAATCTTAAATGTCCTGTATTGTACTGTTCCCCTTTGCAAAGCTCAGCAGCATAAGTGCCTGCCTGGCAAGTACAAGGTCTTGAATTCAATCCCCAGTAAAACAAAACAAAACAAAAACAAACAAACAAACAAAAAAACTGAAAATGGGCATCTTTCATCAAAGCCCTGTATAGGCCAAGTTTGGTGGTGCATACCTGTAATCTCAGCACTCGGGAGGCTGAGGCAAGAGGATCTCAGCAGTTTGTGGCCAGCCTATGCTACAGTGACTTCCAAGGACAGCCTGGACTACACAGAGATTGTCTCAAAAAGAAGAAGAAGAGAGAGAGAAAAAAAAAAAAAAGGCCTATGATGATGCTGTATCCCTTCCCTAGGATCTGAAACATCAGAATCTTTGCCAGGAATGGAAATGTTTGAGACCCAAACTCTAATTCTTCTCCTAGAAGTTGGACTTCAAATCCACCCTACTGGTGGGTCCCAAACCTGATTTCTATTCCTCACCTCTTTTGAATTCTCTTGAATCTACATATATTGAGCACCCACCATACCTTGTGTATTACCTAACATTTTTCAAGGATTATTGTCCAACAATCTCTTTTTTTTTTTTTTTTTTTTTTTTTTTTTTTTTTTTTTGGTACCGGGGTTTGAACTCAGGCCCCTGCACTTGCTAGGCAAGTGCTTATTCTACTGAGTCATCTCCTCAGCCCAGTCCAAAAATCTTACAAGACATTTTTTAGTGTATTGGTTAACCAACATCGTCCTTAATTCCCTTTTCCAAAAATAATAACTATAGGATATATTTATTTACTTTTTTAAATGAATTTAGTATAGGGTCTCACTATGTAGATCAGACTTGTAGTGATTCTCCTGTTTTCAGCCTCCCAAGCACTGGGACTACAGACAAGCGCACCTCCACGCCCAGTCTCAATCACCATCTCAGCATACTCCAGGGATGGGGCTGGCATGACGTGTTGACTAAAGGATAAAACACAAAAAATAATGACTTTTATAGGGGTATAGTCTCTTCAGTAAACTGTGCATTTCAGTGAGTTTGGGACACATCTCTGAAACCACTACCACAGCCAAGATGCAGAGTATCTCTAACACTGCTAGAAGTTTCCTGCTGTACCTTTCCAATGTAACTTTCTATGCCCCAATGACTACTTATTTTTGAGATTAAACACATAGATTTATATAGAAACATATATATATATATATTTAAATTTATATATCTTTTCTAAACTTTTAAATCCATAGATTCATCCGGTATGTTCTATATGGACATACTTTTTTCCTTAGATACAACGCTAGTAGTGGGAACCGGGAATATAGCTCAGCAGTCCAAGCACCTGCCTGCAAACTGAAGATCCTCAGTTCAATTCCTGGTACCCCACCCCAGCCCCTAAAAAATAAATAAAACCTAGTAGTGGATACTTGAGAGTTGGGTTATATGGTAGATAACTTTATAATTGTTTAAGTAATATATACTTGCAACAAATTAGCACATGTACCCCATGAAGTGTTATTTTTTTTAAAAAAATCTTAAACTAAGTGTTTACACCATTTTACTTTCTTACAAGCAATGTTCTAGTTTCTCCACATTGTTACCAACACCAGATATCATGCTTGTTAGTTTTGTTTTGCTTTTTGTGTATTTGGTACAGGGTCTCACTCACTATGCAGCCTGGGCTCCTAATGATCCTCCTGTTTTCACCCTCTGCAGCACTGAGATTACCGGTGAGACACCCAATGTATGCTTTTTAGTTCTAGCTTTTCTAGTGGGTGGGTGTCTAGTGATTTTTATCATGATTTTAATCTACATTTCACCAGCACGTTTTCATGTTCTTATCAGCCATTGTGTATTTGTTGTGGTATCTGTGAACATTTTTTTTTTTTTTTTTTTGCAGAACCGGGGATTGAACTCAGGCCCTTGACCTTGCCAGGCGATCACTTATTCTACTGAGCCATTTCTCTGGCCCTTCTGTGAACATCTTTTGTCCATTTTTATATTGTGTTAAGTGTCCTTTATATATTCTAGACAGTCAGGCATAAATATAATATTTTTTTTTGTGTGTGTGTGTGAGATCTGTCTCAAGGTGAGAGAGGTAATTGGCTTGGAAAAAACAGCCAGTAGGGGCTGGGGAGATGGCTCAGTGGAATAAGCGCTTCCTTGGCAAGTGCAAGGGCCCGAGTTCAATCCCCGGTTCCACGCCTACCCTTTTTAATGCTCTTCCAACACGGCCTCTCACTACACTGCAATGCTCACAACCAAAGGTTTCACAAGAATTACTCACACTTTATTGGTAACACAGTAAAGCACGGCAGGGTGCACTTAGGCCTTTGATGTGGCTAGTACATGTGGGGACTGCAAGACCTTGGGAACTGAAATCGACTCCAAATCTCACCTTCCAAACCCATCTACCTTGCACTGAGCCGTCTTTCCAAAAGGCATCTCTAAGGAAGAGAGTATGCAATGTGTTAATTATTGAAACTGTCCTACCAATTTGATTTGAAACTGTCTCATTGCTATGTTTCTCAATAAAATTATGGAGGGAAAAACGCATCTCTGACAGCACCTGATGACTCCATATTCTGAGGCGTGCACTGCAGTCGGCCTCCCTAGAACTCCCCAAGCCTCAAGTACTGAGTTCATAGCGCGGGAGCTGGGTTCCGGATGCACAGCACACTCTTCTTGAACCTGTTGTAACCCAAAAATGAGACAACTGGGAGACAAGTCCAAAAAGAAAAGAGCGCTTTACTTTAGCTGGTACCCAGTGGCAACACCTGGCACAAAGTGCCTAAGTGCGCGCCCAGGAGGGGACAGACAAGGGTTTTTAAGGCTGAAAACCGCAAAGGGGAGGTCTTGTGACTTGAGCTCGCGGGAATGCAGCACAGGGGTCAGCGTCCACTTTCGGGAAAACAGGTTACATTTTTTTAACATGCGGTTACAATTTTCAGGAACAAATAATTACAATTTATGGTTCAGTGTTGATCACGGGACATGTTGTGTGGAGTGCTCTGGGGTAAGAAATAGTTCAGATCCCAACCTTTAACACACTGTGGTTTAGAACAAAGGAATAGTTTGAACATTAACAAACTGTGTTCAGAGGTCCGATGGATGGCTTGAGCCACCAAGATGGAGTTTAAGTTGTCAGTTTATACCAAACAATCCTTATTAATAAAGTTACAGTGGAAACGTACAGAGGTGTATAATACAAGGCTATTCTGGTTACAAAATGGAGTCAATCACATAGGTTATAACAGAAACATACAGAATTGTATAACAAAATAGCTGTTCTAGTTACAAAAATGGAGATGGCTACATAGGTTACAACAGAGCCCACACCCCCGGGGCAACTTGACTCGTCCTTGGGCCTCCACTCTGCCTAGTCCCTCGAACCCTGTAGACAT